TCCACGTGTTTGTGTGTACATGAGTGTATCATCCCCTCAAAGCCACTACTCACCTGCCTGCCTTGTCCTTAGTGTCATTAAACCTTCCAGCCTGTTTCTGACCAGCAAAAATGGGTGATAATTAGTTGATGAATGTCTGAACACACCCATCTTCCCAGTTGTTCCCTGTCTCAGACCCACCCTCACCCCTGGAAACAGGAAAACTGTATGGTGTAGTTCTCATTATCAGGCAAGTTCTCTGCATTCCTGTCTTTGCAAAAACATCAGCACTGCCCTGATAAATAAAACTGGGTCACCACTGTGGGTTTCAGCCCCTTTGCTTTGCCACACATAATGGTTGAAGTGACTAATTATTCTTACCCACAAAGCTGCTGCACCTGAGAGCTGACCTGATCCCCACAGATCTCCCGATAGGAAGCTGAAATGGAATTTTAACACCATGCCAAACAGTTCACATCCCCCTGCATCATGTGTTATTACTTCTGCTCCTGGGAAAGGAGATGCTGTAAATCTACCTACAGTTTGCCTACGAACCTGAAGCAGCTCCCTCCACTGCCTTCTCCTCTGTCAGTGCCCACCTGAACCTCTGGAAAATTCTGTACCTTCCTAACAAAGGTGCACAGAGGCTGCTGTGATTTACCCTGTTGACAAAGACCATGGCAGCCAAGTACAAAACCCAAGGGTAACAGGGAACGGAAGGGAGAAGTTACCCCACACAGAACTTTACTGCTTTATAACACACGGACACAGTTTCTCCTGGCATTCCCAAAACCACCTCTGGTGTTCTGGCTAAACAGCCAGGAACAATTTGCACAGGACAGCCCCAAACAGGTCACGTCTGAGTGGGAGCAGAGGGATGCAAGTGGACCCTCAGTGATACTCAGGTGGCTGCAGAGCTCTGGGGAGAAGTAACAACATTGTGCACTAATCAGAGAATGGTTTGGGTTGGAAAGGATCTTAAAAATCATGTAGTTCCAATCCCCTGCCACGGGTAGGGACACCTTCCCATGCACTAGAGCAGGTTGCTCAGAGCTCCACCCAGCTTGGCCTTGGACATTTCAAGGGATGGGGCCATCCACAAACCATACCAAGCAGACTTACCAAGTCATGACCATGGGGACAGCTGTAGCTTCCCATTTCCCAGCAGGTCTCCCCAGCTCTGCTAACCAAAGATCATTACACCTAAGAGCCTGGCCGAGGAGGTTGGCCACACAGGACCTCACCACACCCTCCCTGGGGGAGCAGATGGCTGCAGAAAACACAGACAGCCCGGTCTTGCCATGTCTTGGGATGGCAGAGGAAGGGAGCACAGGATGTGCCAAGCCAGGCCCACCATGGGGATGTTTCAACATAGTTTGTCTCAAAGCTCCTTGGAGAATGACTTTGCCCAGGAATAAGAGCAGGTCCCGGACGTACAGTCGGAGCTGGGAGCACTGGGGGAAAACAAAAGGGCTGATAACCTGCTGTGAGCCTTATTTCAGCCTGCAGGCTCTTGGACAGAAACAAGACCACAAAAACAAAAACCAGCTTCCTTCTTTCGTGCCCACCAACACAGCCACAGGCTGGTCTTGCTCACAGCCAAATAACCAGACCTTTACAAGTGGGTGCAAATATCCTTGCTCCCCACAACCTTACCACATTTACACTGCTCTTGCAACTGAGCCACTCAAAGGCCTTCCCAAATGCCAAAATACAACCTGCTTTCAAGATGAGAACCACTGTCACCGAGCAACAAGGGACACTGAGACACTGAGTGACTCCTGCAGCCCTGTTCCAAGGTCCCACAGGTGTTTCTCTCAACATCAAAGGCAGTTGTGCCCCTGTGTGTTCCTTCCCCCTCCTCAGCTCGCCAGGATTTCGCTCCCACACCAATGCAACTACTCACGGGACTACTTGGAGAACCGAATCAAGATGAAAAGTGGTGGTTTGTTCCAACAGTCAACTCCTGGCCTTCAGTCTCTGTCCCCCGAGCTAGTGAGCAACTTCTCCCCCCTTTTTCCCAAACCAAATTTCCTGGCCTAGCCCAGCTCCATTACCTCCAGCACCTGCCTGGCCGTGGCAAGTACCCCTGGGTGTGATCCATATCGAACCCATTTTCGGTTTGCCCCTCCTGCGAGCAGCACCTCCCCGTTGGAAGCCTCCACCCTTCCCGTACATGCCTTTCCAGCCAGGCCTCCGGCTGGCCTGGCACCTCTCCAGGCCACACAGCGCTGGAGGAACGTTCCTGCTGACTGGCTGCACTGAGACCCGTGGATCCCTGCATTCCTCACAGGTCCGCCTGCAACCCGCACGGATCGGGCTGCGCTTTATGAGGC